TGCCCACAACTCAGGCATGTGTCCTGACCAGAACCAAACCATGACCTTCCCAGTTCGTAGGTCAGCACTCAACCACTGAGCCACACCAGCTGGGCTCGTTGGCATTTTTTATTCAGTGCGTGTGGTCAAGTCAGACACCTAGTAAATACAAGTGACACGGTATTTTACATGGCACAGTCAGATCCTTGACCTGGTCAGAAAAATTTGCCACGTCTCAACCCTTCCCTATTCCTGTGGGGACACAGCCACAGGGATAGGATGTGGAGGAGCCAGTGTTCGTATGAATGCAGTCATTCCTGTTTCTCTAAAATTCAGATCTCTGCCATCTCCTCAAGGCTGAACTCAGGAAACAGATGTGTGGTATGGGTCAGGCTCTTGCTGAACACTAGTGTTTTAGAGTTTAGAAACAAATTTATAGTAGCTGCCCTCATAATGCTCACCATCTAACTAGAAAAACAAGCATTCGGATAATTGTGTGTGCGCGCCAGCGGGCGTAAAGGACACAATACAGTGATCAGCCCTCCAGTGGGGGATCAGAAGGTTTCAGTGAAAATCTGCTAACCAAGACCTGAAGTATAAAGTGGAATTAGCAAGGGAAAAACTACTGGGAGGGTGGGGAGAGAATGATATTTCCCAAGAACAAAAAAACACAGTTAGGCTGTGGCCAAGCACATAGGGAGAAGTGTATGGACTAAGGCAGAAATTGTCTTTACCATAGCTTTATATATATATATATATATATATATATATATATATATATATATATATATATAACATTCATAACCATTATTACATTTTTAAAAATTTTTTTTAATATACTTTATTGATTTTTTTTTACAGAGAGGAAGAGAGAGGGATAGAGAGTTAGAAACATCAAAGACAGAGAATCATCGATCAGCTGCCTCCTGCACACCCCCTATTGGGAATGTGCCTGCAACTAAGGTACATGCCCTTGACCGGAATCAAACCCGGGACCCTTCAGTCCACAGACTGACGCTCTATCCACTGAGCCAAACCGGTTTTGGCTACCATAGCTTATTGTATCCCTCTTGAGATAGAAATCTAACCAGAACCAAAGGAGAAATTTCAAATAGGGCATGGTGACAGATGTCTCGTGGCTTACCAAGGCCTAACAAGGCAAGCAAAAACCAACCCACAAGCATCATGGAGGACCCTCAGCTACCCTTGTTTCTTTGGGGAGGAGAGGAGAAAGTGATCAGAATGGAATAAGACCTTTGACCTAGCAATTCCAATTCTAGCTAGCTATCCTAGAGAAGTTCTAGCATAATTGCACAAACAGTATTTAATGCAGTAATGTTTGCACTAGCAAAATATTGTAAATAATCCAAATATCTATTAACAGGACGTTGTTCATTTATTCATTCTCAGGGTATTTGTCAGCATTCACTATCGGTCAAGGTATATAACTGGTGAAGACAGATAAAGTTCTCATGGAGCTCATAGTAGGGGAGACAGACAGGCTAACAAGTAAGCAGTCTCAGATAGTGGTGAGAAGTAAGGTATCCTTTTTAATCTATTTGGTTCCTGAGTTAAGGTGGCAGGAATTTGGACAGTGAGAGATAACTGTGTCAGGAAGAAACTGAAACATGGTAATATGATGGAGAGTAAATTAAAGGAAGGTGCTGAGACAGCTTTTCTGAGGAAGTGATGCTGGAGATAAGGCTGAAATGACTAGTAGTAACTAGTTGTCAACCATGTAGAGATTCTAGAGGGAGAGAAAGTAGCAAGCATAAAGGCCCAGGTGGGAGCAAACTTGAAGTATCCAATGATCAACAAGTTCAGCATGGCTAGAGCCCAGGGAGTGGTGGGGAGTTTTGAATTTTATTCTTAATGCAATAGGTGCTGTTGGCTTTAGGTAATGGGAATATTGTGATACTATAGAGTCTGTGAAGTAAGTCAGAGGATTAAGGTGAAGTTATATGTATTGCTGTGGGAAGATCTCTAAGATCTCCTAACTATTACATAGTTAATTGTAAAAATAAGTTGTGGAACACTATTTATGGTATTTCACAAAACAAGACACTGTGTACAAAGAAACATGGAATAGGGATTCTCTAAGTGTATGCACCAAACTGTTAACAGTGGTTATTTCAAGGGTTTAAATTAGGATTGGTGATGGGGATGAAGGAGGGCTGCCACTGACACTTTTTACTTCCCACCATATTTGGATTTTGTAACAAAAGGAGGTACATGAGCCGGGAGCTTCCTGATTGTATAAAAAGGCTTGGCTTTGAAAGGAAATACAACAAAAGCTAAGGATTGCAGGACACACTGCTCCTCATGACTTTCTGGCCTGAATGTTAGATTTCTTTATGTAAGTATGTAAACAACTACATGTAACTGAACATTATCCCCTCAGAATATTAAATATATGGCTGGGACTGGTTTGGCTCAATGGATAGAGCGTCGGCTTGAGGACTGAAGGGTCCCGAGTTCGATTCCTGTCAAGGGCATGTACCTTGGTTGCAGGCATATCCCCAGTAGGGGGTGTGCAAGAGGCAGCTGATCGATGACTCTCTCTCATCGATGTTTCTAACTCTCTATCTCTCTCCCTTCCTCTCTGTATAAAACCAATAAAATATATTTTTTTAAAAAGAATATTAAATGTATGATCATCGTTTCTAATAGACTCTACAGTATGTTCCCTATATTGCCATGAGAATGTTTGTGTGAATGAATATTCCTTGAGCAGGAATGTGATCCTACAGGAATCAATGACATTCAAGGATGTGGCTGTGGACTTCACCCAGGAAGAATGGCACCACGTGGCCCCTGCTCAGAGGCGCTTGTACAGGGATGTGATGCTGGAGAACTACCGCAACCTGGTTTCTCTTGGTAAGGACCACATCCCAATGTCTCGCCTATTGGTGGGCCTTTCCTTTCTCAGTTACTATGGTTGTGGAGCTCTGTGACTGTAGCTTGGGTGGCTGTGAGCAGGGTGTGGGCGTTCAGGGTCAGAGCTTGTTCATCTTTTTGGGACCAGCCTTATGGGTTTCTGAGCCTGCTCTTTAGGTAAAAGGTCTTTCTTTTGCAGAACTGGGCGTAGGCCATTTGGTTGCATAATTCCCTCAAGTTGTCCATTTTCTTTTCCTTCAGAGTTCACGAGGGTCAAGGACCACTACTGACTTGCAAGAGGCTTTTTTGTCCATTTGCACAAACAAACAAATCCTCTGTTTTTACCCGTGAGCAGGTTATCAAGCTTCCAAGCCAGAGGTGATCTTCAAACTGGAGCAAGGAGAAGAGCCATGGCTATCAGAGGGCGAAATCCAAAGATCTGTCTGTCCAGGTAAACGAGTGAGGATCAGGCGTGTGGGAATCCGTGCAGACAGTGGCAAAGCTGAGGGAGTGGGGAGCACTTTCAGATTGCTGCCCTGGGAGCTCACAGAAGGCAGAAGAGGCTGAGCTCTCATGACACCCCTGTATATCTCCCTTCCCCAGTGGGTGCTCCTGCTGCTGGTCGGTCTTAGAGGAAAAGATACCACTTTGTTCTACACTGAGTATGCCATTTCTCCTGTCCTATAACCCTACTTTCTGGATTATTTTCTCCTCCGGTATCCTCAGGCTCCCATCTCATTATTTAGCGATCTCTTTTCTTACTCACTCAGCCATAATTGAACTTCCGTGTCTCCTTCTTGTTTCGTCTTACCGCTCTCACTCTCAGCTGCCCAGACTTGTAGGAAATATCCACAGCCTTGACTCTTCCTCCCTTCACAACTTGTCTTAGACTTCTTTCCCTCACTACACCTGTCTAGGGAGGAACATGGTCTTCCATCCATTCTATGGTCATGTTGATTTGATTCATTGCCTCTCTCCACTGTTCCTAGAATATCACTCTCTCCTGGTCTCCCACCTGGATATGTGCTTCTTGGTTTGAGGTCTTTGGCTTTTCTTGCTTTTCCTTCTAAGCAAATATGCCTTAAGGACTCTGTCCTCCAGGTTCCTCCCCCTTCTTTGTTACAAAAAGGGTGCCTGCCTTCTGGTGGTTGCAGCTCTTTATTTATACTATAGACTCAAAAATCATCCTTGCTTATACCCTGGTCATTTATTCCTTTTCACAGAACACTTTCACTCGGAAGTCCCACTCAGTTCTTATTAAAGTATAAAATCTGAATGAATCATCTTGCCCATCACTCCTTTCTACCCTGACCTGTTAGAAACCTTTTAGTATTTCTAATCTCTCAGACCAGACACCATAGTCAGTTTAGTCTTTTTCTTTCAACCCAGGTTATTTTCCTTCTTTGAGAAGTTATCTTAGATTTTCCTGCCTTTAACTTCTGCTGGTGTCATCTTCAACCAAACCCCAGGCTTAGATTACTATAATTTCCAGTTAAAATTACTCCCTCCATCTTTTTTATAATCCATATATATATATATTTTTTTTTATTATTGATTTCAGAGAAGGAGAGGGAGAGATAGATGGAAACATCAATGATGAGAGAGAATCATTGATATGTTGTCTCATGCACATATCTCTCACTGGGGATTGAGCCCATAACCCGGGCATGTGCCCTTGACCAGAATCGAACTGGGTACCCTTTGTCCCCCATGCCAATGCTCTATCCATTGAGCCAAACCGATTAGGGCTGTCAATTTATCTTTTATGTATTTCCAAGTAAGTTGCAGGTGAGTATATTTCATTCCTACATTTTTTCATGTGCATATCATTAACTAGAGTTCAATAATTGTTAATGGCTTTTAGAGATCAATTTATTAGGCAGATTAAATAAATCTTTTTTGGTTAAGCAAGGTGACTAATGTAGAATCAGAGCTCAAATAGACAAAATCCACACCCCAGTTGTAAGGACAAGAATGATTTGCCTCCTGAAATATTTTTTTAAAATATATTTAATTGATTTTTTACAGAGAGGAAGAGAGAAGGATAGAGAGTTAGAAACATCAATGAGAGAGAATCATCGATCAGCTGTGTCTTGCACACCACCCATTGGGTACGTGCCCACAACCAAGGTACATGCCCTTGACCGGAATCAAACCTGGACCTCCAGTCCGCAGGCCAACACTCTATCCACTGAGCCAAACCAGCTTCGGCTGAAATATTTTTCTCAGTGTGTGACATCTAGCCCTTAATCTACAAGTGTAACAAAGAATCATTTCTATTAGATCACTGGCTGCAGATTTTTCACTTCAGGTTTGACTATCTGGAGTCTCAGAGATGACATTTAAAGAAATTATAAAATAGATATATTAAGGAAATATATCTATTTCTGAAAGCTCACAGAAGGGCAGAAGAGGCTGAGCCCTCATGACACCTCTGTATATCTCTCTTCCCCAGTAGGGTGCTCCTGCTGCTGGTCAGTCTTAGAGGAAAAGATACCACTTTGTTCTACACTGAGTATGCCATTTCTCCTGTCCTATAACCCTACTTTCTGGATTATTTTCTCCTCCGGTATCCTCAGGCTCCCATCATTATTTAGTGATCCCTTTTTTTACTCACTCAGACATAATTGAACTTCCGTGTCTCCTTGTTTCGTCTTACTGCTCTCACTCTCAGCTGCCCAGACTTGTAGGAAATATCCACAGATTTGACTCTTTCTCCCTTCACAGCTCTATTTCTGACAGCTCACAGAAACCAGTTTATTAAATGGACAGCAGGCATAGAGAGCAAATACGATCCTGCAAGATGGACTGTGATCCTTTTTTCTTTGTATCTATGCCTAACACTCTCTTAATCACTTATCTCTTTACTCCCTAATCAGCCTCCTAGCTGGGCATCCTAGTTTTGAACTTATCATTCACTCTGGATTTGCAGTCTGTATTATCATATATTTTCACTCTTCCTTTCCTAGATTTTGGGTATTCTCCCTAAGCCACATGGCTGATTTTAAAACAGAGTCATGTATAATTTGAATCTCATTTTCTCATTCCTATGGTAGCAGTTTGTCTCAACAGGAGGGAATAGGGGACTTTTGCACTTTGGATTTCTTTCAGACTGGAAGACTAGGCCTGTGGCCAAATCATCAAATCTACAGCAGAACATATCTGAAGTATCCCTTCACACAGATGGTCTCTCACGTGCCACGTTAGAAGATGTGAGTAATCAGTTAGAGAGGCACCAGGAAAACTGGAAGAGGTATCTGGGGCCAGATGTATCCACCCAGAAGAAAATAATCACACCAGAGAAAACCTTTGAGCATAATAAATTTGGTGAAAACTCTAGATTGAACACAGATCTGGTCACACAACTGAACATTCCTTCAAGGTCTAGTGAATGTGATACGCTTGGAATCAATTTGGGACATAATTCAGACTTACTTAATCAGAATAATATCCTTGTAAAAAAGAAACCTTATAAATGTAATAAATGTAGAAAAGCTTTTATTCATAGATCATCACTTACTAAACATGAGAAAACTCATAAAGGAGAGGGAGCTTTTCCCAATGGTACAGATCAGGGAATTTATGGTGGAAAGAAACACCATGAATGTACTGACTGTGGAAAAACCTTCCTCTGGAAGACACAGCTTACTGAGCATCAAAGAATTCACACAGGGGAGAAACCCTTTGAATGTAATGTGTGTGGGAAGGCCTTCAGGCATAGTTCATCCCTTGGTCAGCATGAGAATGCACATACTGGAGAGAAGCCCTATCAGTGTAGTCTCTGTGGGAAAGCCTTTCAGCGCAGCTCCTCCTTGGTTCAACACCAGAGAATTCACACTGGAGAGAAACCATATCGATGTAACTTATGTGGAAGGTCTTTTAGGCATGGCACATCCCTCACTCAACATGAGGTCACACATAGTGGAGAGAAACCCTTTCAATGTAAGGAATGTGGGAAAGCCTTTAGTCGATGTTCTTCCCTTGTCCAGCATGAGAGGACTCATACTGGAGAGAAACCTTTTGAATGTAGCATATGTGGGAGGGCTTTTGGTCAGAGCCCATCCCTTTATAAACATATGAGGATTCATAAGAGAGGGAAACCTTACCAAAGCAATAACTACAGCATAGACTTCAAGCACAGCTCATCTCTTACTCAAGACGAAAGCACTCTGACTGAAGTAAAATCTTACCATTGTAATGACTGTGGGGAAGACTTCAGTCACTTTACAGACTTTTCTGACCATCAGAAGATCCATGCTGGAGAGAGCCCCTATGATTGTGAGCAGACCTTCAGTCAACAATCTATTTCTCATCCTGGAGAGAAGCCCTATCAGTGTAATGTATGTGGGAAAGCTTTCAAAAGGAGTACAAGTTTCATAGAACATCACAGAATTCATACTGGAGAAAAACCCTATGAATGTAATGAATGTGGAGAAGCCTTCAGTCGGCGCTCATCACTTACTCAACATGAGAGAACCCACACAGGAGAGAAACCCTATGAATGTATTGACTGTGGGAAAGCCTTCAGTCAGAGTTCATCCCTCATTCAGCATGAGAGAACTCATACTGGAGAAAAACCCTATGAATGTAATGAATGTGGGCGAGCCTTCCGAAAGAAAACCAATTTGCATGATCATCAGAGAATTCATACTGGAGAAAAACCCTATACTTGTAAGGAGTGTGGGAAAAACTTCAGTCGAAGCTCAGCTCTCACTAAACACCAGAGAATTCATATGCGAAATAAACTCTAAGAACCTTGGAATTTTTTAAATGTGCAGAAAGCTTTAGCTAAAATATTCATACTCAGTGTCAAAGGATTCTTGCTGGATAAAAAATTTGAGAATGTCACGATTCATGTGTATGTTATGTTGTGTTCAGAGAAAACTTTGCTAATAGACAATTTTTTCAATAAATAAAAGACACATTCTTAGATCTGGTTATGAACTTTTATAAAAATAACTACAAACATAATACATAACCTGTTGAAGATGCTATGTTTATATATTGAACTTTATAAAACTTTTTAACATTTGCAGATTACAAACTTTCAACAATTTGACTTGTAACTGTTACTGTTGACAGCCTTTTTTATAGATAAAATTCCTGCATTAGTGACCAAAACTCAATTTAAAAATTGCTTGACAACTACATTCAGTTGCAGTTCTTATATTGAATGCACCATGGAAACCAATTCCACCTCCAGAAATTCATCATTCAAAGAATTAGCTGTCCAGCTACTTCATTGTACAGATGAAGAAACTGAAAACCAAAGATGTGAAATAGTTTGCACAGAATGCTGCAGCTTATGATGGTAAAACTGGTGTAGGATGCAGGTCTCCTGGCTCTTTGGCCCCAGAGTCTTGACACTGAAAAGCTAATTTGGAATTCAGAGGGCTTTTAAATAAATTTTAATTCAGATGCACAAACATTTAATGAGCACTTAAGAATTCATAAAAGCATAAGAGGCAGCAAGATATGTTTAAATTTGTCACAAACTTATTTAAAGCAACTTGGTAGAAGCTTAAAACCAAAATGTTAACAGAAACTGTAAATGGTTGAACTACTGGCAACTTTTCCATTTCCCAAGTATCATAATTATACTTTCAACTAACATTTCAGTTTTATAAAACTATTAAGTCCTCTATTCTGCACTGCCCCAAGCTTCCTATATTGGATCAATGAGAAAACAACACAAAACTAAGACAAGAATTTTCCCCTAAATTTGTGGACAAGTATAAATTCAGGTACCTCTTGCCATAAAATTTGCCTTTAAATTAACACGTGCCAAGGGAATATTTCACCATAAAAATAACTTTTTTAAGCTTGTGGCGCTTTCCCATCAGTAAAGCCTGAGAGCTACGTTTCAGTATCCCACTCAAATCCTTAGTGTCCCGTAGGGGAATTCATAGGCTATCCTAAAGGAATTTCAAGAAGCTTTGTTGGTTCATTGGCACTAACAATGCAAATAAATTTAGGATCAATTGTGGACATTGACCCCTTTCATACAAGAGCATCTCTCTAAAATAAGCCAATTTTCCCGCCTTGATGAGTCACTGGGAGGAGTGATATGAGTGGTGGTGATGGTGAAATCTTTCCTTCTGGCTTTCTTGCATGCCAAGTAATAGGATCCATTTCCTTATCTCACCCTGAATAATACAAGGCAGCTCCCAAACATTCTTCATAGTTCTTTGCAGGGAAACGTGCCTGGGGGTTGAAATATGGCATGTCTAGCCCATTGTCTATCACATATGGAGCAAGATGGGATATTCCCTAGCCGACCTGCCCTTCTAAGACAATCATTCAAAACATGGCTTGTTTATGGTATTCCATGCTGAGTGCACACACAATGCCAAAGTCAAGCTTATATTGTCTGATACATAATTTGACAATATGTAATTATACTCAAACCTTCCCCCATTGATTGGCCAAGATGCCTAACAGGAACTCATTTTGCTGCTGATTGTTTGGGGATCCCCATAGTGGACTATGTGTAAGAATGGCATGAATAACCAATTGAGTGCTACCCTACTTTTAAGTTTATAAAGACTTTAGGTCTAGCCGAAACCGGTTTGGCTCAATGGATAGAGCGTCGGCTTGGGGACCGAAAGGTCCCAGATTTGATTCCGGTCAAGGGCATGTACCTTGGTTGCGGGCATATCCCCAGTAGGGGGTGTGCAAGAGGCAGCTGATCAATGACTCTCTCTCATCCATGTTTCTAACTCTCTATCTCTCTCCCTTCCTCTCTGTACAAAATCAATAAAATATATTAAAAACAAAACAAACAAACAAAACCCTTGTTTTCAAATCTTTCAGGTATATACCTGGAAGTGGAATTGCTGGGTCATTTGGTAAAAAAAAAAAAAAAAAAAAAAAAAGACTTTAGGTCTAGTAGACCCAAAGGAGACCACTGGTTTGTGTGTGGAGCCTGGCCTAGATCCAACCAATATCTGAATCTCAGCACATCTTCATTGACAGGGAGGGAGCCTAGGGTATATGAGTGGCTAACAGAGCAGAGGATTCCATGGTCCCAGCATCTTTGCACCATGCACTTATGATCACCTAGCTTTCTAGGCCACATGAAATGCATCCTTGTAACATCATTGTGTCCTTTCAATAAATAGCCTTCTTAGTTGAATAGGAGTCAGTTTGTCTATTTCAGTTTTCAGAAGTTGACTAAGAAAAGAGTGGCATATCAAGGAGGAGGGCTTAACTGCTAAACCCTTCACAGCCTGGTGAGTTAATAACAGCTACCATTTATTGAATGCTTACTACTTGAAAGACATTGTGCGAAGTACTTTATAGCTATCATTTCAGTTAATTCTTACAACTTCCCATTCTAGGTCTTGTGGTAACTATGGTCTATCTGCCCAGCTTTTTTCCTCTTTTCTTGTAATAATCCCTGCTGTACTGATCACAGGAATACAAATCAGGACATGCGTGGAGTATGGGATAGTTTTAGGGGAAAGCATGTGTCTAGTTGAGCCAATATCGGAGTCCTTTGCCAGGATTTTTTCAAAACAGTTAGCAGGGGAATTTTGATTTTGGCTTTCTAGGCTAGGAAGGTGAAAGCTAGAGCTACCTGGAGCCTGATTTCCTACCAGAGAGGGGAGGTCTCTTGTGGGAGAGGGTGCCACTGACGTGATGGTATTCTCATTACTAATCCCTGAAGTTTTTGGACCTGGCTCAATTTCTGAAGCAGTTTGTAGGATTCAGTGGGCTCCCCATTATCAGTCCAGTGATTCTCTCTTTTTGACTAAAGGCTAATCTGTTAGACTCTGTTTCTTTTTTTTTTCTTTCTTTTTTTAACATATTGGTTTGAGAGAGAGAGAGAGAGAGAGCGAGAGAGAGAGAGAGAGAGAGAGAGAGAGAGAGAGAAACAACAATGATGAGAGAGAATCTTTGATCAGCTGCCTCCTGCATGTCCCCTGTTGGGGATTGAGCCCACAACCCGGGCATGACCGGAATCAAACCAGGGACCCTTCAGTCTGCAGGCTGATGCTCTATCCACTGAGCCAAACCAGCTAGGGCTATACATAGTTTCTTGCATTAAAGAAATCTAATACATGTATTATGTCCTTGTGTTATAATGGTGGGAAGGGGATGGGGCCCAGAGATAAAATAACTCACCCCAGGTAGTACTGTCTATAGCAGATTTAGGCTTCTGACTCAGGACAGGCTGTATAGGCAAAGCTCTTAATCACTAACTGTTGTCTCCAGGGGCATGTTGGGTTCAAGGAGCTGTATATAGTGCAGTGTCATTTGGGGGTGAGTGGATAGAAGGATATGGTGATAGGTCAGAGATCAAGAGGAGACAAAATGGTGAAGGGCGTTGGAATTTTTTCCTGACTCAGTAAATCAAAATCCCTAAATTCACTCATAACCCTCATACCTTAATGTATCATTTCAATTCAGCCTATACTGTAGATAAAAATAATTTATCATACTTAAAGAAGAGCTTACATATGTTCTATGGTGCTACATAGTCTCAGTTTCCTTAAGTCCCCTATTGTGACAATTTTATAATAATGACAATTGAGTATTTTTATCTTTTTAAGCACTCCCACTTTTTTTTTTTTTTTTTTTTTTTTTTTTTTTTACAGAATCTTTTATGTTAATTTTTTAACATATCCAGAATGAGATAAAATATCCAAAGTGAGGTTGTTAGGTCAGCTTGTAGCAGTTAGTGTAACCAGATGGTGTGAGATTCAGATAAGATAGCCCAAGAGTAATCATCTCAACATTGCAAACAGGATCCAAAAGGAAAACCAGCCTCCCAATCCTGGGGAAGGTCCCAGGGTAGGCCTCTCCCCCAGAGCACCTAACACACCTCTTCCTATAGGAAAGATAAGAAAAACACATCTGCAGTTTGTATGCATATTGATGGTGGCCGTGTTCAGTTCTTTATAGCTGCTAAACCACTTAATTCTTACTCATCTTAAAAATGCAAATGTACCTGGCTGCCTTATTTCAACTAAATTGATGTCTCATATTTTCAGAGATAACTGTTAATGTCCATCATGGTGCCACAAATTGTGTGTGTGATTATTTGCTGTTCTTCCTCCACCTTGCACTAGATTATTATAACTTCCAGGATGGCCAAGTCCACATCTATTTTGCTAACTTTCTGTTTCCCCACTTAATTACTAGTATAGTGCTAGGGACATAGCAGGTATTTAATATAGTCTTGTTAAGTGAGCAATGAAGTAGAAATTTGTTGGTAGACAAAGTAGACTGGTTTGTAAATAAAAAGATTCTCAATCTTTTTAAAAAAATATTTTATTTATTTATTTATTTATTTATTTATTTTACAGAGAGGAAGAGAGAGGGATAGAGAGTTAGAAACATTGATGAGAAAAAAATCATCAATCAGCTGCCTCTTGCACACCCCCCACTGGGGATTTGCCCGCAACCAAGGTAAATGCCCTTGACCGGAATCGAACTCGGGACCTTTCAGTCCACAGGCCTACGCTCTATCCATTGAGCCAAACTGGTTTGGGCAAGATTCTCAATCTTGAAATCAGAATATTGTGAAAGAAAGCAGTAGATGCTATTTCTGGCAAAAACTTAGAAGTCTTGCAGGAGAAAAATGAGAGCTTGTACTGCTGGCAGGAGGGTAAATTGGTACAATTATTTTGAGAGTAATTTGGTAATTTTCAGTAAATTTGAAGCTAAGCATGCTTCATGACCCTAGACGAGATGTATACCCTAGACTAGAAATTCTCCTATATGAGCACAAAGACTTACATGAGCATGCTCATTGCAGTAATGTTTGAAATAGTGAAAATATGGACACAACACAAATGTCTGTCAGTAAGCGAATGGGTTAATAATTTGTAGCATATTCTTATATAATACAACACAATTTCTTAAATTAAGGAACCAGAGCATCTGGCAAAACATGCTATCTCTGCCTATTCCACTCCTGTGCCCATGCATTCTAAACATTTAATTTGTTCTTTTCTATGTCCTACTCTGGAAGGTAAGCTCCATGATAGCAGAGATTGGGGGTAGTGGGGGTATATGTTATTGAAACATAACATGCCTACAGAAAAGTACAAACAGCCAGTGAACAACTTGATGATTGAGGGTGGCTACTTTCGTATCCTGTCCCAGCATAGAATTTCAAATATTTAACAAATGGTTGGACTGAATGTACCTGTATTCACATGCCTACCATATTGAAAACAATTGAAAATAAAGTTATGGAGGATGTGAAAATCCTCATGTAAAAATCTATTAACCTATTTTTATCAACTCAAAAGTAGGAAGGAATTAAAATATCAGCTTCAGCCAAAACCGCTTTGACTCAGTGGATAGAGCGTTGGCCTGCAGACTGAGGGGTCCTGAGTTCAATTTCGGTCAAGGGCATGTACCCCCAGTGGTGAGTGTGCAGGAGGCAGCTGATCTGATGTTTCTGGCTCTCTATCTCTCTCCCTCTATGTAAAAAAATCAATAAAATATGTTTTTAGCCGGGACCGGTTTGGCTCAATGGATAGAGCGTCGGCTTGGGGACTGAAGGGTCCCGGGTTCGATTCCAGTCAAGGGCATGTACCTTGGTTGTGGGCATATCCCCGGTAGGGGTGTGCGAGAGGCAGCTGATAGATGACTCTCTCATCAATGTTTCTAGCTCTCTATCCCTCTCCCTTCCTCTCTGTATAAAATCAATAAAATATATATTTTTAAAAAAATATGTTTTTAAAAAATATATCAGCTTCAGAGTGGTGGTTTCCGCTGAAGCTAATGGGGAGAGGAATAAGAAGGAATAAAAGAAGGCTTAAACTCATATCTTTAAAATATATCTATATCTAAATGTATACATAAAATATATCTAAATGTAAGATATTTACATTTGTTAAAGGAGTATGATGCATAGTATTTACTGTATGTTCTTCTCTAAACCTTTAATAATTAAACTCAGCCTCTTGGTCTTATCTGGTCTCCCTATAAAGCCACCTGCTTTGTTCCCCTCAGAGTTATGAGCATGTTTAGCCTGTACATGTAGTGTGTCCAAAGGATTTAGGAGAAGGAAAAACAGACACTCATGCTCCCAAGGATGAGAAGCTGATCCAAGAAAGAAGAAAGAGTCCTTGCCCTAACCTAGCGGTCGGCAAACCGCAGCTCGTGAGCCACATGCAGCTCTTTGGCCGCTTGAGTGTGGCTCTTCCACAAAATACCACGGCCTGGGCGAGTCTATTTTGAAGAAGTGGCGTTAGAAAAAGTTTAAGTTTGAAAAATTTGGCTCTCAAAAGAATTTTCAATAGTTGTACTGTTGATATTTGGCTAGGTAGACTAATGAGTGTGCCGACCACTGGGCTAGAGGCATAGACTGCATGGACTAGTCTGCCCCACTGTGAATGAACACGGGACTGGGGTGAAACTGCCTAGACAATCACCCATCTCCCTGGGAGAGGACTTCCCTGTTGGGACAGGCCACTGGTCCCAGGTCAAACAGGACTAACCCAGGTGACCCGAACCTTCTTTTTCCTTCTCTCTGGTCCATCCAATGCTAAGAGAAGCCGGCTGGGCATATAGGCATCTAAGAATAAGGCATGAGCCCTCGCTGATGTTGCTGGAAGATTATAGCATCCACTGGGCACCAAAGGGTGATGGGTTCGAGTGCCCATCAAGGACAGGTGCCTGGGTTGCAGGCTCCATTCTCAGTGCCCCTGGTCTCAAGGAAGGCAACTCATCGATGTGTGTCTCTCACAACAATCTTTCTCTCTCTAAAAATCAATGGGGTGGCCGAAACGGGTTTGGCTCAGTGGATAGAGTGTCAGTCTGTGGAACGAAGGGTCCCAGGTTCGATTCCCATCAAGGGCATGTATATGGTTGTGGGCGCATCCCCAGTGGGAGGTGTGCAAGAGGCAGCTGGTCGATGTTTCTCATCCATGTTTCTAGCTCTCTATCCTTTTCCCTTCCTCTCTGTAAAAAAAAAAAAAAGAAGAATCAAAAAATATATTTTAAATAATAATAAAATAAAAATCAATGGGGTAAATATCCTCGAATGAGGATTGGGGAGCGGGGAGAATAGGGTACGAGTTTGGACTTTAGAAATGGGCTGAACTAACAATCATAAGAAAACATAAAATTGCTTTCTCTCCGGTTAAAGGATTCTAAAGGGAGATTTGACAGTGTGGCAGGTGACAACACATAGGTTGAAAAGGTTTGTACCATCAAATTTAGAATTAATAACAGGAAGATCTGGGTGTGTCAAAGGAAGTCCGCTTGCTTCCCCCAACACTTTACGAGCGAGTGCCTGGGTAGAAGCGCCGTCCTCCAGGTACCGGACCCGCGCAGCTGAAGACTACATTTCCCGAAAGCCTTGGCGGGGAGCACCCTCGCTTCCGGTCTGACGTATTCCGCCGCTGAGGAGGGCGTTCTTGGAAGAGGCTTGAAATTCTAGCGGCCCGGCACGCCGACTTCCGGTCTGCGTCGGCTGGTGCGCGGCGCTTCGTGTTCGCTTCCCGCTGGCCCGAGCGCTTCTAGAAGCCCGGCGGGCGTCCTGCTGCCGGCGCCAGGCAGCCCCTCGTGCCCCATAGCAGAACCCCTCAGGTCAGCCCATCCCCTCTCTTGTCACTCTGCCCAGTGGCTGGACACTGCCATCTCCTATCGCGAGGCCCACTGGACAAAAAGGGGATAAGTTGAGCATGTGACATTAGGTAAGTGGAGAAACTCCAGGTAACCATAACCCCTGCCTCTGAAAAGGTGTAGCTTTTCCTGAGGAAGTGTAAGTGTCTACTTCCCCCCGGAAACAAAGTCATAAAAACAGACACCAACCTGTCCTTTGTCATTCTTCCCTTCTGCTCCCTTCCCCCCGGGGCAGGAGAGACCTGTGCGGGGAGGACCAGGAAGCTTTGAGTGAAGGGTTGCAATTCCGGTAACGGTGGCCTAGGTCATTAGGACCAGCTCTTCCGTAGAAAACGTAAGCTGGATGGAATGTTGGGAAAAGAAAAGCATTCCAAAGAGCTAATACTGGAGTGGAAAGTTAGGGATCAAACTCTAGGAGGAGCCAGAGATGGTTTGTAATTCCAACACTCAGGGCTGCCTTTGCCAGACGCCTTTTGTTGCTGGAAGGAGACCCCTGTGAACCTCAGCTGTGAGGTCGGTGGACGTGCAGTGTAAGGGGTACAAGTGTAAAAGTGCTGAAAGCTGGGAGTCTGAATAATCTCCCTCTCTCTCTCTCTCTCTCTCTCTCTCTCTCTCTCTCTCTCTCTCTCACACACACACACACACACACACACACACACACACACACACCCCCATTTAAACTGGAACCCCAAAGGAAACTGCATTCAAGAAAATGTTGAACTGAATGGAGATGAGTATGTCTCTCAAGTGCAGCTCGTCTTGGAGGTTTAGGGGACCTCAGCCTTCAAAATCTACAACATTGATCCAACTGTGGTGTGCCCCGGTGACTGACAGAAGCGAATGAATATAATCTATAGAGACACGTAATGTCTCAGACATCAAAGTATTCACGCACACATACCCTTTTTCTAGTAACTTCCAGCACATTTTCAAAAATAGGTATACAGAGAGACATCCTGAAAGGAACATGCAGAAATAATAGACAACAAACACGGACACAAGTACTTCAAATGCTGGAATTACCAGAGAAAAAGTATAAAATCGCGAGTTTTTAGAAGTTGATTACATTTTTTATTGATTGATTTTATTTTTTTTATATATTTTATTGATTTTTTTTTACAGAGAGGAAGAGAGAGGGATAGAGAGTTAGAAACATCGATGAGAGAGAATCATCGATTAGCTGCCTTCTGCACACCCTCTTCTGGGGATGTGTCCTTGACCGGAATCGAACCCAGGACCTTTCAGTCTGCAGGCCGATGCTCTATCCACTGAGCCAAACCGGTTTCGGCTATTGATTGATTTTAGAGAGGAGAGATAAAGAAACATCAATTTATTGTTCCACTTATCTTTTTATTGGTTGTTTCTTGTATATTCCCTGACTAGGGATCGAAACCACAACCTTGGCATCTTGGGATGATGCTCTAACCAACTGAGCTATCTGGCCATGGTTTTTTAGTATTTTCAAAGAGATAAAACACAAGTTTGAAAATACCTGCTAAAATAAGAAAGCTATTAAATTTTACATAGATTTTTTTTAACAAAAAGTAACCAGTAGATGTGATTCAAACAAAGCATTTGCAGTTCTAGAAAATTCCCACACTTTGAGAACCACTGATCTAAGTTAAAACACAGCTACTTTCAAGGGATGATCTGCT